TGTGTGTGTGTGAGTGTGGGAGGGATAGAGAGAGAGAGAGTGAGAGAGAGAGAGAGAGACAGAGACAGAGAGAGAGAGAGAGACAGAGAGAGAGAGACAGAGACAGAGACAGAGAGAGAGACAGACAGAGACAGAAACAGAGAGAGAGAGACACAGAGAGACAGAAACAGAGACAGAGAGAGAGAGATTGATTGCAGGTGCCTGTATATCTAGACCATGCTGCAGTAGGTTTGTCTTTGTGGTGATCAGTAACTTGTTATCTTATCATCTCTTTTTATATCTTTTTTTTGTGTAGATATGCCTGATGGAGGAGCAGCCCATTTTGCACAAACTGTGAGAGAAATCAAGTCAAGGTACGGATTTTAATGCAACGCAGATCAATCTGTAAGTTTTCTTGAACATATTCTTGGCTGAAGAAAGTTCTATACACAAGATGTTGTTTTACTGAGAGCAGAATAGGTTGATAGGCAGGTATTTTTTCAGTGTTGAAGCCCAGTGACCCACATCACATTAAGCATACACATTGTGCAGAAGACTTTTCCATGAAACAGAGTAAATGATAATGACATTCATATCAATAATATTCTGAAAACGATTTATGTTGTTAAACAAACTTTTCATAATTGAGTTGTTAACCTTTTACATATTTATGCCTGTTTTCAAGAGCAGAATAAGCACAATTGAATATATGTGTTTTGCTTTTGAGGGAGAGGATCATCTTTCAGATTCTATGCAACGGTGTCTTCCTTTTAGTAAAGAGAACCTTTCTTGTTGAAACTTCTCATGTATAGCAGTAAAAGTTTCATTGTTTTGAGGTCTTTGTAGAGTTGTTTCTGTAGATTGATCTCCATAAGATAAGAAGACTTCATAATGTTACAGAGAACCCACTTGATGCCTTGTGATGGATACAAGATTTTGAATATAGACTGAAGAAATTTGGTTCTGTTCAAAATGCCCTCTTTACTCAAGCTATGTTTTTGTAAGATGCTCTAGTCTTGAAAAGTTCAATAATCTGCATAATGATTATTCAACATCATTTGATGACACGTTGTTTTGAGGAAGTTTAAAAAAGAAACATGATAATTTCATTATTCATACAAAGGTGTCAATTTTGTTTCCTTTGTCTTAAACTTAGAAACTGCTTACAATGAAATATACAAATTTGTATTTCTGATTTGCGTATGATGGTTTGAAATGGGCGTAAACATTGCATTTGGTTTGCTGCTGATTGGACATATGTGTTTGGTACATCCTTGAAGAGTTTAGCATCAAGTCTTTTTTTTTTTGTTCTCTGAATGACTTATTTGTTTCATACTTTTAAAAATCTTTTCAGAAATTCTTCCATCTTGGTGGAGTGTCTAACCCCAGACTTTCGAGGTGATATGGAGGCAGTCACTGTGGTGGCAGACTCTGGCCTTGATGTATACGCCCACAATGTGGAAACAGTCGAGGCCATGCAGTGGTGGGTATTTTATTGTGAAGTGCCTTTTAACCTTTACAGCACCTGGCTATTTTAAGCCCTCACCTCCCTTTGGCCCAGGTAATTCTTGAGTCCTTAACTCTTCAAGCCCAGCTGATACTGTTTGTGTCTGCAATTTTTGCTGACATTAAACACATTTTTATACTGCCTGACCATTATTTTATCAAATGAGCTCCTGACTTTTTAGATATCTCATAAAAATCCAAATATATAGATGCAATATATGCAGAAGGAGCAACCTAATAAGCTTTTATTCTTAATTCCAACCAATTTGCTTTTGTGATACTGCATGAAATGCTACTATTTTTATTTGCTTGTCCTTAATCTTGGGTTTTTTGTCCTCGAAGGAATATCTCAGTGATGGTTGAATGCTACCTTTTTGTTATGATGTTTTTGTAAATACTTCCACTGAAGTCATGATTAGAAACTTTAGAATTCCAGTGTCTGTGATGTAGCAATTACGTGCTTTGCCTAAGACATGTAGAAGACCTGAATTCAATTCCTGTGTGGGGAACATTTTTATAGAGTATTTTAGTCTGTCAGCTGGGATGTTATATCCCTCTCAGCTCGGGTTGGCCCTGACAAGCATGGTGGAAGCCCACCTTCAGAGTGATGTAAACTGTGTCAGTGGAGGAGTTAAAAAACACTGAAAAAAACCCACTTACATAAAAAAGAAAACAACAAAAAATAATTTAAGAATAAATTTGACAACTACCGGCAGGATGGTGAGGGACCCCAGAGCTAACTATGCCCAGTCTATGGCCGTTCTGACACACGTCAAGAAACGTCACCCCAAGATGGTCACCAAAACTTCCATCATGCTGGGTCTTGGGGAAACGGACGACCAAATCCTGCAAACAATGGAAGGTGAGTCATGTTGGACTGTAGGTACCCCAAAACCTTTTTTAAATTCACTTGTTCAGCTTTCTTCTCGAATTCTCCCCTCATCATGTCACCACAGCCGCTCTCCCCCTTGCCTTAATTTTTGCTTTTGCTGTTGTGAGTGCTGATAAATTTTATAAGCGTTGAGTTCATGAGATGAGTAGGGACTTTTGCACAAACGGACTGTGGGAGGTCTTCGAAGGGAAGCTAACAGGTTTATGGGTAATGTTTATGGTTGTAACAGTCATAAACACCCTGGGTTTGTGGTTGGCGGGTGCTCTGATGGCTTGCCTTAATTTTTAATCCGTTACTCACTTTTCTCTCCTTTTTAGTTAGTCTTTTATGTCAGCTTTTCTGTGTTACACACTGTCTGTGTAGGTGGTTGGTGAGCACTGTGGTATGGTTGACTTCTTCTGTCTCTATTTACTGTTATCCTTTGCTACCTTTCTTCTTTCTACTTAGGATTGGTATTGTCTTGTAACTTTAATCTTTGGTATTTATATGACCTAGAGTGCTGCAAGTTTTGAAAACTTCTTTCAAACTAAACACACTCTCTTCTCTCTTCTCTCTCTCTCTCTCTCACTCTTTCTCTCTCTCTTTCTCTCTCTCTTTGTCTCTCTCTCTCTCTCTCTCTCTCTCTCTCTCTCTCTCTCTCTCTCTCTCTCTCTCTCTCTCTCTCTCTGTGTTTCTATGTTTCTCTCTCTCTCTCTCTCCCTCTCACATCTTCTTTCGCCCCTCCCCCTCTGTATTTTCTTTTCTGGTCATTATCCAGAGGGACAGAACAGATGGCATTCTGTCATTTTCAAGACTGGACAATAGCTATCTCTGGATGATTCCCACAGTAGGAACGAATCATATTGTGATGTGACATGGTAAATATTACTTTCCTTTTCCCCCCTCAGACTTGAGAAAGATTGATGTGGACTGCCTGACCCTGGGGCAGTACATGCAACCTACAAAGCGGCACCTCAAGGTCAGTGATATGTTGTTTGTTCTGTTTGGTTTAAGGAATGTGCATTGCAACTGAAAGGTCATAGGTCTGAATTCTGTTACATGCCCGACGTTGTGTTCTTGGGAAAGGGACTTTACCTGGATTTTTTTCTCTTCACTGAAGTGGGAATGGGTACTCAGACCTGCCACTCATCCCGATTTAATCGGGATATCCCGATTTTTTGCCCCAAATCTGAAGCATCCCGATATTCCTGATTTCGATTGCCAGTATCCTGATTTTTTGTCGTTGCGTCTGTTGCGTCCGATTCTTAGAAAAAAATACATTATGTTCTGCAATCTCTTTTGCTTGGAAGCATGGATTGGATTTTTTATCGACAGGAACTAGGAACGCTACTTTCTAAAGCATCTATGCCGAATCTAGATTAGTAGATGACTCACGCACGTTATTTCAGCTAAAATCGACGTAGTATCGATTTTGAATTCCGACATAGATAGGCTCAAGATCTACTTTTGCTTTTATAACCCAAATTCTCCGATGGTGTCCTGATTACTGTAACAATTATGCCATGGGCCTAAGAATAATCTATTCGTTGTTCTGCCGTTGCTTTAACAGCAAGCTTCGTCTGAGTTCTGGTTAGTCGGGCCCATCATCAACACCTGTCAGTGGAACGTTCAAATGCTCATTCGCATCACGTGACCTGACCTCGTACGTGTGAGAAGTGCTTGTGTCGGGGACCGTCGGCTGTCGGGGTCAGCAACGTTCATTCACACCGGTCACATTGGTCGAGGTGTTTTTTGGGACTTAACCAGTGTGGACGACCGGGGGAGGAGGTGGGGTTTTCATTTTTACACTTGGGCTTAAAGTGCGTGCTGTGATACATGTATCAATTGGGGATAAAGTAAAGGAATAAAAAAAAATAAATGAACAACCTTGGCGAGATCTTTTTTTCGGGGGGGGGGGAGGGGGGGTGCCTTGAGTGTATATGTGATAGAAGTCAAACATTGTTACTGTTTGAAAACGCAGGCGTTCTGCATGGATGATTAGAGTTATGTGTCAGCTATTTTCAAGACTACAAGAGTTTCAGCTTTACTGCTGCCTGCGCTCCCCCAGTCTATCCGACTCAACTTGAGTAATTCTGTTTTTAATCATCATCATCATCATCATCATCATCATTATTATTATTATTATTATTTTGTTGTTGCATTTATCCTAAGGTCAAAGAGTATGTGCATCCAGACAAGTTCCAGTACTGGCAAGAAGTTGGGGATAAGCTTGGCTTTGCTTACACTGCCAGTGGGCCTCTGGTTCGCTCTTCCTACAAGGCTGGTGAGTGATTCCCCCCCCCCCCCCCTCCCCACCTCTGCCTTGTACTTACAGTTAATACAACTGATTAAGAAACTAGTGTTAAAAAGTCAAAATTTTGGGCTTGTACATTTGAACAATTGGTGGACGAAATAATCAAGCTCACCTTATGGATGGTAACATTTGCTTAGGACTTGGCGGGGAACAAAAAAAAAAAGAAATACAGGTGAGGGATCTGAGTAAAGAGTATATAACTTTATAATGTCGCTATTCTTGGTCTTTTTCTGTATCGAAGAGTACTATCTGTGCAAAAATGACATAATTTTGAATGTCTATCCAATGACTAAAAAATACTATCCTCGTTCGAGCAACTTCTTTCAAGAAATACTTGTTTATTTATTGTAAAGCTATGTGCTATTGCTACTGTATTTAAAATTTATGTCCTTTTTTTGTTCACCCTTATTATATCCTTCATTGCTGTTTGTCTCAGTTTTCTATGCAGGACAAGTAAATAATTTTTAGAGATTCGGAAAATCATACTGCTCCTAATATATGTTACTATTCTTCCTTTCCTAGGTGAATTTTTCCTGAAGAATCTCCTTGAACAGCGGAAGTCAGAGTCACCCTAAGAACCCTGGGCTTGGTGTCATATGCTTTGTGATGTATTGAAACTTATTATGAATGCTGCAGATTGTTCTCACAGATGTTGTTTTTACAGTTAGATCTGCAAAATGTCAAAATGTAATTGTTTTTAACTGATGTATAACGGGTGTCAGTGTCCTGACTAGTTATGTGTGACAAGTGAGTTCCCCGTGGTATTATATTTGTAGAACCCATCATGATTCTAAAACTTCATTTACTTTAGATGGGAGGAAAAGAGGAGGAAAAGGGGGAGGAAGGGGTGGCAACGAGGAGTCCTAAGATTATTTTCCTTATTCATTACTTCCACTTTGTTTTAAGTTACTTTTTAGTGTATATATTTGGTGAAGGTGGATGATTCACAATTCATCCTGGTGCGTGATGACTGGTACTTAGATTGCTGTAGGACTCCATTGCCTTGAATTTGAGTATATATTTGGCCCAAATGGAAAAGACCTAGTCCGTCTTAAGGTGATCATTATGCCTTTTACCGGTTTTATTACGTTTAGGACAGTACCTACAATTTTCCAAGAACGTATACTGGTTTTTGGCTAAGAATTTACTAGAATGTGTTTGGTAGGTTGTGCTAAGGAAGGCTGTTCCCCCTCATCTGGTTACCTGGTTGTGGTATCTCTGGCTCGGAGGTTAACGTGTAATGTCTCAGCATTATTATCGGTTGGAAGCTACTTTAATGTATCTCATTCCCCCTTAAATCACCCTGAAGACCTTGTTTGGTTTCCAGTTCTCCTCCGCCCCCTCCCTTTCCACCAAAGCTGCGAGCAGCGAACAGCAGTACAGAGCTGTTTTGTGTCTGTGTTGTTATGTTATGCATTGATTGTAGTAGTGTTAATCATTGTGAAATAAGTTTGTGTGTGAAAGGCTGCTCCATTAGCTCAGTTGGTATCATGCTGGACCATAACAAAACAGATGGCCTCGGTTCGAATCCCAGACTGGGCGTTCTTGCACTCAGATAATTTTGTGGACTTTTCAAGGCTGTCAACCTATTTGGCCTGGTCCTATTGGAGACGGACGTTAAATTTGTAGGCCCTACCTCTTTAAAAACCTAATAGTGTTGATATGGGTGTTATACCCATACACTAATACGATTTTTGTGAGGTTCAAGGGAGTGAGTTTGTCTTTTTTTTGTGTGTGTTTTCTCGGTTGATCACTCTTTGTATTGTATGATTGAAATCTTGTCATTAAAAGGGCTTTCATTTGCTAACATTTAGTGTCATGTCAAGGCAAAATGTTTTCTCTTGATTTTGAGCATGCAAAGTGTTGTTACTTGTGAAAGAAACAGTGAATGAAAGAAATTATGCCTCCTTACAATATTTTAGAATGTTAATGTGATATTGTACATATATACTAATCGGACCTGGATTTTTGTTTTGTTGGTTCTCATATTAAAGATGTATGTATGAGGAGTGAATAGTCAGCATAATTTCTTTCTTAACCTCAGCACAACGATTGTTGTTGTTTCTCTACAGTCTTTATTTTGTATGTTTGTGTTAGTCTCTTTTTAAGTTCAGAGAGGCCAATCATCATAGTCATAGGGATAAAAATTTTTTTTATATTTTTGTTAATTACTGTTCAAATGATGTTGGTAATAATTCAACTGTAACAGTCGCAAACAGTGTAAATTTGAAATTAGGTCAGGTTTTACTTTGGTCTGAAAGATTGCTGGGAGACCCGTCTTGCATCATGTCAAGTTAATATAGTGCCAGTTTACGATGTGAAAATTTTGAAATGGGATTTTGGCGCTAAGCAAGTATTCATCCATTTCGTGACAGGCTTGACATTGTCACACTATTTTCCTTGAAAGTAGAAATCTAAGACATATATGTTTTGCGACTGTTACTGTCAAATTGAATTTTTTTTCTGATACACTGTCGATTCACAAAATGCAGTGCCATGGAAAGAAAAACGCTTGAAAGTGTCGGGAAAATGTAGAAATCATTTATTTTTTCAATACAACCGCGTGTAGTTCAGCCAAACATATAAAGAATAGACACAAGAACTGATTACAAGCTTGTTGTATCTCTGGATCCTCAGTATAGTGTCCATTTGTGTTAAGCATCATATTGCTTGTGAATGCAGTAGACACAGTATTATGAAATAGAAACAAACCCCAAGAGTTGTTTTAATTTATCTCATCTAGTAAGTGAACATCTTTCACCTAAAGGGTGCAACATCAAATTCACTCGCACCGCTGTCAAAGACTAGATGTCATTTCTCTGTTCCTTTCCTTTGTGGAGACATGTTGGTGACATTACATGGCAGTGCTGTCGTACAGTTGGTGGGTTCTGTGCTGTGGTCTGCTCCTTCTTTTCACTGTTAGGCCTTTGTTGGAAACTTCATTTTCTTGTTTCTTTAGAAAAATTTTTATTTCGTAGTCTAAGATGTGTTTCTAAATTGTTATATTAGTTTTTCTAACGAAAACACTATCCTCATTTGATTAGTTGCACTTAAAAAAAAATTATCTTCCACTGTTAAGTTGAAGTCAAGATTTATTGAAGCTCTGAAAATAAATGAAATGCAAAGTATTATATTATTGTCTCTTGTTTATTAAATCTGTCTCAACGGTGTTTGGCATGAACAGAACCAAACTAGGTGAGATTATTTATTTTATCATACCATTGTGAGAGCCTGGTCTAATTAAGGACAGACAAGGAAAACTGTACGTGAAATGGGTTTTCAAGCTATAACATATGGAATGACGTACATCAAAATACAAGTTCTGCATTAAATTATATAAGTGATAACATGGAGAGACAATATGTCTAGTGAAAGTAGAGGTCAATATTGCATGAGATATGGTTATGCTCAAGTCTGCTGGGATTTTAAAAGAAAATTGAGTGAAGCTTCTTTCATAGCACAGAGGGGATCGTTTGTGAGGCAGTGTGGTGAAACCAGGCGCTCGTCAAAATACATGTAATCAAATTGAAGAAAACGGCATTTTTCTGCTTGTTTAGCAATTTATATTGAGTTTTTGTTTTTTGGCTCAACACCTTTTGAGTTAATTTAAAAACACATTTCTGTTCGGATGTGACCGAAAAATGTTGGTTAAAGGCACAGAAAATTTAATTTGTCAATTTCCAAGGACTTTCAAGCTTTGGAAGTCACCTAACATTGGCGGCCATTTTCTCGCTAATTTTATTTTTATCTCTGAAATCATGCAACCTCACCTCTTTCAATCGCAAATACCTCAGCTTCTGTTAAGACAGATGAGTATTTTTTTTTCATGGAAAGTAAGACAAATGAAAAAGCTTTAAGATGATATCAGTAACTCCATATTCTAAAAAATTGACGAGTGCCTGATTCCACAGGGTCGCGACACATTTTGTCACCATCATTCATCATTGTTGTATGTCAAAATACAAGGTTTGCAGAAGAAGGGGAAAAAATATTGTATCAAGCTGGACCGTATGTTAATACAAAATGTTTAATTTCTCTAAATTTGCTTCTATTTTTTAAGAAGAGGAATGAGACATGACCTATCGGTACATCTTATCAAACTTTGCAACTTGGTCCATTTTCATTTTTTGTAAAATTTTGACATACGACAATGTTGAATGTCGATGACTATTTGTCAGATTGGAGACTGGGTAGAAATTTAGTCATAGGCCTTCTCATTTTGTGAAAGCTGAAAATGAGAGGAAATAGCTTCACAGGTGTTGTACCTCCACCTTCTGCCTGCCAGGGAAGTTCAGTTTTCTCTACAATGAGGTCCAGAATAGGATGATACACTGAACTACAAATTATTTTGGACGAAAATACAAAAGATATTTTCTTTTTAATACATCTGGAGCATTTTTAACTGTATTATGTTATACCATCGTGGAAATCATTCAAACGTATGGTGATCATAAATTCAACAGCCATAAGTATGCATTTCAAAAACATGATAATGAATGAAAAAAGAAATGCAAATAAAGATGTCTCCCAAATCATACACATAATTCATTTATATATATACACAGTATAACGTTTCTTATGAACAGCATATTCTTTCACCTTACAATCTGGTATTTGTATGATCCATGCACTTCATTTTTTTACAGCAAGCTAATATTTTACATTGTCCTACAGAAAGGCCCCATTCACACGAATAAATAGTAACAATATAAGGTTACGTCTACCAAAATCACAGGATATCTGGAGGCTGTGTGGACAATAACATTGACATTATACATTGTAAGCATATCGTATTATTTACAAACGTCTCGTCATGCCCAAGTTAGGGGACAGACCGCCCCCTATTATTTTAGGATTTTGTCAGTTAGTGTTTGAGCGCTTGCACTGTATACTTCTGGGGAAGTCGAAAATGTTTCTGTGTGTGTTATGGTGTAATGGGGCAATAGTAGTTGTGAAGGGCATAGAGCATACTGTGGGGCGTGGGTATGCACTATGTAAATGCAATTATTATTACACGTATAGCAATTGGTTATTTTTGGTTTTGTTTTGCTATTGAAGAGTTGCAAAAAATGAAGTCGGCTTCGGTTCTGTGTAACTGAATCTGAGTATGAAGAAGAGTTGCGGGATTTTAATTTATGCAGGGAGTAATAGATAACTCAGTCACTTAATAATTTGGCCTCAAGTACCGCTATATGAATGAAAGACTTGTCTGTCGATGGTTTCACGGGTGAAGTAGCTTGGATTCTCCAAATTTTGTTCCAGGGTTCAAATTTATGGAACAAAAAGCTTCCCACTCTTGTTTATATTCAAGTTCTGGACTTGCCTAAGTACGACAGAGTGCACGACAGCAGCTAACGATCGCAAACAATGAGGGGTCATTGCCCGTCAACCCTGAGCTAGAGATGACTCCTCCATATTATATCCAGATTTAAGTTCTACCTTTACGTAAATGAAATGGCCCAGAAAGTCAGGAGACATAATGAGGCTCATTTTTTTTCTAGGGTTCTCAATGAAACAAACTTGTCCGGAATTGTGTACTTTTTGTGAGCTCTGGTGTCTGTAGTATGGCGGCAAGGCGCTTCGCTGCGGCATGCAGTAGACCCGAGTTTGATTCCTAAGTGAGGAGAAATTTTTATCGAGTTTCTCCGTCTTTCAGCAGGGATGTTGTATCCCTCTCAGCCCGGGTTGTCCCTGTAGCCCGCCTCCTAAATGATCTAAATTGTGTTGATGGGGGCATAAAAAACCCCAAAACAAACAAAAAAATACATGTACCTACATTTATAACATGAAGGTTAGTAACACAGTATGGAGGAATACATATTACCAAGAACAATTTTATAGAATATTGGAACTTAACTTTGCATTTTCTAAACACTAGACGATGTGTAGCTATTAACGTCCACTGCACCCGTTCAAACAGTTGATAATTGATGATGGGGAGACTTGACACCTCCTTTTGCATTCATGCATTCATTACAAGCATTTTTATGTACTGACCGTCACACCAGTAGTGTCTGTGCAAACGTAGAATGGCTTTACTTTGAGTGATGGGTCTATGTAGACCAAAAATCCCAACCCAATACATGTAACTCGACAGTCCATTTTTCTAAGGCTTCTGTCCCCGTTGTTTTATGCAAGAAAAATTTTGAAATTATGCAAAATGAGCCCAAATATGTGAAATTATGCGATTCTGTTAATTTCAACAAAGAACGATAAAGGAAAATAATCAGAAATTATTTTAAAAAAATCAAATTTTGCCAAATTATGCGGGGTGCATAAAATAACCACGGGGACTGTGGCAGGAAGTCGATCTTTTGATTTTTTTTCTTCTTCGGTATTGACCTTCATCTACGCGTACTTAAAAAAAAATTGTTTAGCTCTTTTGGTTCGAGTCTTACCCAGACCAGTCAACTGATATGTTGGATTTTTTACAACGTGTATTGGGTTGGTGTGTCTTATTGTGTCTACACTTGCTTTGATTTTGGAATTTGTACAGTCTACCACGGATTAATGCAGCATTTTCCTATAAAAGTATTATTAGGCTTTTCAGCAAAATTTGCTTTGCACTACCCAGGTATATTGCTTAGACTTAGGTAAAAAAAAAAAAAGAAGAAAATTGATATCTGGGTTTAAAACAATTAAACAACCTGCCTACTTCATTTTGTTTCGCTATTTACGTGGTCACGCCTGAGGATGTCGAAGATTTATATTATAGAATCAGCCGTGGATTTTGCACCCGGTATAACGGACTTCGCATCTCGCAGTCAGTTGCGTCCGCCTTACTGTCAGCTGATTAACAATGCAGCGAGAACAGTCATTCTAGCGTTCAATAACTTTCTCTTTCTCTCTCTCCCCCTCCTCTCTCTCCCTCTCTTGTTGTCTGTCAGTCTCTCTCTCTCTCTCTCTCTCTCTCTCTCTCTCTCTCTCCACCCACTCTGTCTGTCTGTCTGTCTGTCTCTCTCTCCTAGTATAATTATGTAGAAGATGTTCAAACAATGGTCACGAACTGACAAAGGTGTCCCCCCATGAACCCCCACAAGAATAGACCGGCATTTGTGGCGTACCAATTAGACTCTTCGCCGTAACGCACAAAAGACCTGAGCTCACGTTTTGAAAGAATTGTTTTCAACTTTCTCTGTCATTTTGCTGGGTGGTTGTATCCCTTTCAGCCCGGCTTGGTCTGGAAATACAGGGTCGAAGCCCACCTCAAAGAGAATCTTAATTGTGAGATGGGGGCTTAAAAATACCCTTCATTACCCCCACCCCCCTCCC